TCAGCTTAAAGAAGAATTTGCAAAGCTCATTTTGTTTATTTAAGATACTTTTTGACAGACACAGCTGTGCCACATAATGGAGTTTTGTAAGACATTTATATCAGACTACAGACTGACAGGACTGCAAGAAACACCTCTTAGGTATCGCCCTTTTTAGTCATCTAAAGAAAAGTTCATATAAAAGCATAGGTTTTATCTGTTTTAAAGACATTTAAAATTTAAGACACAATTACACAAGTAGATATTTGGAGAAGACAGCGTAAGCAAACATTTAGGGTCTGTGGTTACACATGTTGCTCCACCTATCATGTGTTAGAGCCACCTTCCAGTAAGTTTCCAGGTCACTTATCCAGTACACGTACTCGGAGAGGCACCAGTATGTTTGAGACACACAAAACCAGAAAACTGACACCTCTATTTATTTCAGCGGACTTTCAGAATGGCTGAAATGGTATGCGGAGGATTCATGGAGACGAGGGACGCTGATGAGGAAATTCAGAAAATCTGTGATGAGGTGAGCTCAGTGTTATGTGAGTAACATTCAGACTCACATAACACTCAGACACATCAAGTCATTGCTCTGCATTTTACATCATGTTTTGCATTTATTTTGTTCATACAAAGGTTAAGTGTCAAGTAGAGGAAAAAAGAAATGAAGCATATGCAGTTTTTAAAGCTGTTCAGTACAAGAGTCAGGTGGTGCAAGGAGTCAACTATGTCATCAAGGTAATTAAAACTGTGATATTATGCATGTTAGGAATTATTAATGAAAGAAAATAAAGTATTTATGGACTGAGTTACTTGCGAGCTCCAGATGACCTGTTGAACAGATGAACATCTTACTGAAGATCTTCAGCGTTCAACAAGTACAAGTTTCCTCTGATTTGACTGCAGGTACATGTGGGAGGATGCAGCTACCTTGATCTGCGAGTCTGGAAGAAGCTTACATGTTATGGAGGGGAAGCTATAGTTACTGGTATGGAAGACCATCATGACAAAGATCCCATCCAACCTTTTCAATGAGATCACACTTTGTATTTTTGCTGCTCTCTGTCTCCAAGCTGCTGCCTCATGACATGTGCTAAAAGAAAAAAAATGCAATAAAGCTCCTTCAAAAGTAACAATTATAGGAAATCAATCATTTTAATTATAATATTTCTAGACATATAGCACTGACTGGACTGCAGCTTGAGAGGTTTGAAGCATTAAAAGTTGAATTCTGTAACAACAAAATAAATTGTGTTGTTGATTTCTTGCCAGTTATAAACTCAGGCTTTTACCAGCAAACTGAAAATATGTTTAAAATGAGTCAAGTCTTCATAATAAAAACACCAATTGACAGTTTAGTATGACAACTATACATTTATAGGTGTAAATGATACTTGTGGTGCAACGACCCAAAGACCTGTATGTTAGGTTATCAGTGTTTTTTTGTTGGCTATAAATGTGAATGTGGGCATGTGTGTGTCTCTCTGGTTGGCCCTGCCATACCAGCTCTGGTATCTGTATTGGATCGATACTACGTTGGATCAATACTTTTTTTTTTTACTATCCCCTTAGGTTCAGTAGGTATAACTGAATTGCATTAGATAAAGTTTTTGGAAATGCTGAGGTTCGGGTGTCAGAAGTAGGATAACCTGAAAGGAAGAGCAGAAAGCAGTTTTTTAGGCCATGATTCATGTTTGATTCTCTCCAAATTATACAATCACACCTCACACCCTGTACTTCCACTTACTACCTGTTGTGCCAAAAACTTCCAGTGTTTCCGTGTTTTGTTTTGTTTTAAAATGCGTAATTTGTATGTTTGCAAATACACTTTGGTGGACAGGGTTTTATTAGTCCGTTATTTATCCAGGTAAAAAAATCTCATTGAGATTAAAAATCTCATTTTCAAGAGAGACCTGGTTTACATAGGGGTTATATATAAAATGTAAAAATGGCCTGTTTTTCAGGTATCTGTATAACTCTGTGTTATTGTATTTACATTGTAACCGACCGTATGTGTCCACTTAAACTATGTTTACAGAACTATTGTTATATTTGTTGCAGTTTCTGCTGTCCTCTTGGCCAGATTACTCTTAAAAAAGACACTTTTAATGTCAACGCGAGATTATTTTTAACTGGATAAATAAAGGATATATAAAAGTCAGTGCCAAAAACTGATTGCGGATTCTACCTTGTTACAGAAATGTTGTTTGTGGCTCAAGATGACTTGATATTATTCGTGAGGGCAATGTTCAGCACAAAGTTACACTGATGCGTGAGGGATACATTTGACATATGTTTTGGATAGAGCAACAATTTATAGCAGTACAGTAATCAGTTTCTAGTAAATACTGGAAATCGAGCGTCAGCTCAGACTAACCCACACATGCAGTAAAAAACGGACAAAAAA